AGAGGAGGACACAGAAGCAGGTGGACAGCCCGCTAGAGGAGGACACGGGAGCGGGTGGATGGGTCATGAGAGGAGGACACAGAAGCAGGTGGACAGCCCGCTAGAGGAGGACACGGGAGCGGGTGGATGGGTCATGAGAGGAGGACATGGGAGGGGGTGGACAGCCCACTAGAGGAGGACATGGGAGTAGGTGGACAGCCCACTAGAGGAGGACACGGGAGCGGGTGGATGGGTCACGAGAGGAGGACACAGGAGCCGGTGGAGGGACCACTAGAGGAGGACACGGGAGCGGGTGGACAGACCACTAGAGGAGGACACGGGAGTGGGTGGATGGCTCATGAGAGGATACAGGAGCAGGTGGACGGACCATTAGAGGAGGACACGGGAGCGGGTGGATGGGTCACAAAAGGCGGACATGGGAGCGGGTAGACGGACCACTAGAGAAGGACAAGGGAGCGGGTGGGTGGGTCAAGAGAGGAGGACACAGGAGCGGGTAGACAGACCACTAGAGGACGACATGGGAGTGGGTGGATGGGTCACGAGAGGAGGACACGGGAGCGGGTAGACGGACCACTAGAGGAGGACACGGGAGCAGGTGGACAGCCCACTAGAGGAGGACACGGGAGCAGGTGGACGGACCGGAGGACATGGGAGCGGGTGGATGGGTCACAAGAAGATAGGGGAGCAGGTGGACAGGCCAGGAGGGAGCAGACTGGGCCGAGCTGGGGAGGTCAGTGCCAGGCTCAGCTATTAGAGACTGAAGGTTGTGAGAGAGCAGTGTCTGCAGCCTGCCTGCCCAGTGGAGGACTACAACAGCAGCAAATAGTGAAGTCACAGCTGTGTGCCAGCCAATGGCTCCCAGAAATGGCCACTGACCCATGGGATATGATTCTAGGCACCAGTGTCTGTCAGGAACCAAGCAGGACCACCCACCAGTGCAGGCTGGGGGTCTCATGCTGTGGAGCCGACCCCCACCAGGATGGTGAGCCTCTGGGGCCGTTCTGGTTGTAAGAGATTTCAAACGAACCAGGGAGAGTGGCAGAGTGCCCCCATGTGTCCCCACACGCCCCTGCCCGGTGATGGCCTGGCACCCCACACCAACCCCAGATGTCCAACAATTCTCCTCGACATGAGAGTTGTAATGACAACTCTGAGAACACACAAAGACTGCAGCCTTTGCATTTTAGAAACTGCCTTTTGGGGTCATTTGATCCAATCCAGATGCTGGGATTTTATGGACAAGATTTTTTTTTTAATTTTTGGGGCCTGATTTGGGGTGCAAACTCTTCAGTAAGAAAATAAAGGTTACGCCAACACTCAGACCCACTCCCTACAGCTGCATGTGCATGTGTGTGCATGGAGACAGACACAAGCACACACGGGAGCACAGGCACTGTCAGGCACGGTCCGAGGCCACATCTCCCAGCACACCCCCATCACCCCCCCGAGGAGACACTGACTGCCGAGTCTCCACGTCACAGAGCTGGGTGAACACACTCAGCGCAGCTCAGAAACCACCTCAGGGAGGTGTCCCATACAAGGAAGCAGAGTGCACGCCACTCAGGCGCCACCGGACGAGCTGCTTTGCAAGGAGCCGGGCTCAGGCTCGGCTTGCAGGGCGCGTGTGAGGATTCAGCTTGGGCAGCGGGGCTCCGGGCGTGGGCGGGTGGGGCTGCTCTTAAAACCAACGCCGGAGACCTAAGGAAAACCTGCTCTGCTCCCTCCTTCACACAGGACAACAGGAGAGAAGCCGGGCCTCTCACAGACGGCCCACGCCGGTCTGGGGCGGGCTGGCAGTGTGCTGTGGGACACTGCTTGCGTCACTAGTGAGAAATAGAGTAGGGTACAGCATCGTTGCACAAATCAGAGCCCTCTGCTCAAGCAGAAGGACAAGGCAGCATCTTTGAGCCTCCTCTGAGCCCAGTAACCCAGCCTGGAGGCCGGGGGCCAGGATGACCAGAGGCTCTGGGCCAGAGGAGGAGCCCAGGCCCAGTCTGCCCGCACCGCTCCTGCAGTCTGAGGGCTGGGAGGCTCAGCTGAGGCCCAGTAGCAGCACAGAGAAGTGCAGCCCCCGCCCCACTTGGCTCTCTGCACCCCTCCTGCTCCGCGTCTCCCTGGGTGCGGGCAGCTGCGAGGGGCCAAGTGCTGAGTAGCACCTGTATTTGTCCTGGATGGGCGGGTGGGTAGGCAGCAGGGTCTGAGAAGACACAGGCGGCCTGCAGACTCGAGCAGATGCTGGGGGAGGGCCGGGGCAGGCACCACCACTGTCCGAGCCCCACACGGAGGTCTGGGCCAGACAAGGAGGGACAAGAGGCTCAGCGGGGCAGCACTGGCTCCCCATGTGGAGGGGGTAGAGCCAACCAGCCCATGACCCCTGCCCCGCCCTGCCCCGGCTGGGGAACAGCTCCACGTTCCTGAGCACCCCTGACGCCCAGCGGTTGCCTAGACACCCCTGAGCACAGCCCAGTGATGTTTACATAAAGGTGCGAAGCACAAGAGACACTCGGGCCCTGGGCTGCCTCTCCCCCAGGGCTCACCCTGCAGCTCCCAGAGGCCCCGTGAGACTTGGGGCCTCAGCCCGTGGGCCGTCTCCTCCTGTGCCCCCCACACCAACCACTCCCAGGATGCCAGGCCCTCCAGGACCAGGTGTCGGTTGGTTGGTCCCGTTCTGACGCACTTGTCTGTTCCCTCAACAGGGAACTTCCTCAACTTCACGCCACCCTCTGACCCACATGAGCACATGTGCCGCCTGCCCCTGGTAGTCCCCTGTGCTGACTGCAGCCCTGTCTTGCTGGCCAGGGTCAGTGCCAACTGAGCAACACACGGGCATCACAGGAGGACCAGTGGGGGTAGGGGCATGGCAGGGACACTTCCCAGGAGGGCACAGAACAGACCCACCCAAGGCCAAAATCTACCCTCAGCTAAAGGGCGGAGGTCACGGCAAAGCCGGCCTTGCAGGCCCTCTGGCCGTGGTACGAGAAGTGGCCGTGGGGCAGCCTCACCTCGGCCATGTTGATGGAGCCCGCCGCCAGCGTCTTGTAGCCCAGGATCGTGCGGTTTTTGTACCGCTTTCTCCGCTGCAGCATGATCTGAAGCTTGTTGCCTTCCCTCTTCAAGAAGTGCGGGTACTGCGGGAGAAGGGCGGGTCACGGCTGCGGTCCACACAGGCAGCCACGTCCACCCGACACCCTCGAGGTCTCGTGCGTGCCCGAGGTCATGGGGGTCACCATCGCCAACCCCCGGAGGCTCACTCCTGCTGGGTCACCTCACACCTCAGTCTACGTGAAAAGCCACTGCTGGAGGACATACACGGTTCGCCAGGGCCTTTGGGAGGGGCCCACCCATCTGTGGACGTCCAAGAATGGCCCAGCAGCTCATCTGGGTGATCAGTGGTGCCTGACCACCCAGCACAGGCTCCCCACAGGTGGCAGTGCAGAGGGCGTGCCTCCCATAAGTGGCGCTATGACTCCCGAGACACCCGGGGGCAGCTGTGCGCTGCTCCAGGTGGCCCGTGCATGGTACAGCACGGGCTTTACAACCACCTCCCCATCCCTTGAGCCAGGCAGGGTCGGGGTCTTACACACACAATGAGAAAAGTGTCTTATACACTTACAATGAGAGAAGAGGAGTTTCAGTGGGTTTGAAATGGATGGATAGTAACTAGAGTATTAATGTTTAAAGCAAGTGTGTTAGGCCAGAAGAAGTACGTGTGCTGATTTACACACATGGATCTTCAATAGTGACACAAACAGGAAGGAAGGTAGGACGAGCTGCCCTTAGGGTCAGTTTGGGACTGATCTGGGCTCCCCAACAGATCAGGGTCGGGACAGAGTCCAGGGAGAGTTCTGTTTCTACTGGGGTCTAAACGGAGCCCACGTTCTAGCCAGCACACCCCAAACACTTCAGAGGGGCCTGAGCCTCCAGTGCCAAGTTTCCACACACTCCTTCCATCTTTTCTAAACAGCAGAATGAAACAACCTTAACTTGGTGACTTGAGTTTCTGCCCTCACTACACCCTCTCTGTCATGGAAATGGGATGAAACAGTCAACCTGATAAACCAAAGCACGCTCTCTACTATTGAAGAGGAAATCCTGACAAGAGGCTCATCTGTGGTGATGTGGGGGCTGGTGACACTGACCAGGGTGGGTTCCCAGCCCCAGGGGCCAGGCCCACCTGCAGAGAGAACGTCAGCGCCAGGTCGGTCTCCACTTGTCCACTGGGGGGCAGCACAATCTCATGGGACCGCAGGATCCGTTTGGAGCCCTGGGACAGAACAGGACATCTGATTCAGAAGGCATCTTAAAATGAAGCCAGCCCAAGTCACTGTCCCGTCTGCTCTCTTTACACTCGGGATGAAGTGCCACAGGGTGGGGGGCGGGAGCACAGCTCATATGATTCCCGGGGGCATGGCAGAGATTTATCAAGAGCCTTGAAAACGCCCATGTCCTTTGAGCCACCAAGTCCTCTAGACATCTGTCCTAAGAAATGAGAGAGAAGATCAAGACACGCACAGGGGGCAGGTGACTGGCCACCTGGAGGAACAGGTGTGCGAGACGCCAGGTGTTTCTGAAAAGCAGAGCAGTGAGGGTGGCTGCCCCCGCAGAGCGCAAATGTGGTACGACAGTCAGGGGCTAAGACACAGCGGCACCATGGCTTGGGCAGGGATGGTAGAAGTCTACGGACAGGTCCAAAACATGTGGACACACTGAACAAAGTGAGTTATAACCAGCCTTCAGGTCGGCAGGAAGAGTCAGTCATGCAATGGCCATGAAAAGTGGATATAACTCATCGTCTGTATAAAACACACAGGCCCCAATCTCAAACCTGCCAACAGAATTCAAATGGATGAAAGACGGTCACCACAGTATTGTTTTAAAACAGCTGTCCCAATGTGGACGACCCTTGGAGACTGTGTGCTAAGTGCAGGAAGCCAGGCCCAGAAGGACATGTTTGTGACCCCACGTCTACAGGGCACCATGAGGGGTCAGATTCACAGAGCCAGAGACAAGAACAGGGGCGACCAGGTGGCTTCTGGGGTTGGGGGGAAACTCCTGAGGCGTTTGACCAAGATAAGGCGTGAGGAGAAACGGTGAGAGCAGGAGTAGGGTGTGGGTCCAGGACAAAGGCGCATGAGCTGATGCAAGCACTGGGGAGGGGTCCTGGGCTCAGGTGCGGGGCTGGCCCACGTGGCCACGCCACGAGTCTCCGCTTGGACGTCCTGCTGCAGGAGCCTGGTTGATAGCAGCCTGGCTGCTGCCCTCCAGGCCACATTGTGGCGCTGAGGCCTCACGCCCAGGCTGCTCCCAGCCCGACATAGCGATGGAGCGCAGCAGGACTGTGGAGGCGTCCCCCTCCCCCTGCCCTCCTGACTGCCCTCCGCTCTGCAGGGGGCTTTCTCGGCTCTTCCAGCTGTCTCCCTTTGGCCCTCACAGGCATATCCCCCAAATCTCTTGCACATCTGATCCCACTTTAGTGTCTGTTTCTCAGAGGACCTGAACTGACCAGCCTGTGCCAGGAGAAGGGAGGGTCCACGCACAGATCGGGAGGGCAGTGAGCACATGTGTGTAGACGCGGGTCAGTGAGGGAGACTACCACGTTTGCTTCCACTGGGAATTAGCACACAACGGCCTCAACTCGGGTGCGGGCTGAGGAGACAGGAGCAGGTCTGAAAGGGACGTCTCGGAGAAGGCCGTTTCCTCCAGCCCTGCCCAGCCCCCGGGATGCAGGTGCAGAGTGGGCAGAGAGCAGGTGCTCCAGGCACGAGAGGATGCCCGCAGAGAAGCAAGCAAGGAGCCTGCAGGGGAGGCCGGGGGTGCAGGGAGCAGGCAGCCAGTCAACGGGGTTCACTCAGGTCAGCTGGAGAGGTGGGATGGCTCCAAGGGTCCTGGGACCCTGAACCTGGAGGCTGAGTTCTCGGTAATGAGGGGGCCAGGGGCAGGACCCCGGAGGTGGGCAGCTGGGGGAAAGGGGTCAAGGAACAGGGCCAGTGTGTGGTGTGGGTCAGTCGTGTCAGAGGTCAACAGCGCCAGATTCAGAGGCCAGGGATGAGTCAACTCCACTGTGTTCCGAAGTCCTGGTAGACACTGACCACTCCCAGCCAGGAGGCCAGAGCACAGCCTATGGTGCCCGCACCTGGGGGAGCTGATTCTCGTGTGGGGTACATTCCTGTGGCCTGGCATGCAGCCGGGCACGGCTTGCTTTGTTGCTGAGAACTTATAACAGCATCTGTGGTGAGGAAAAGGATTTCAGATCTTTATCTAAAAATATAACATTTTTTGGCTGGTGGGATATTGACCAGAAAAATGTAGATGCTCCTCCTCGAACTCAAATCGGAACTCTCAGTTCGGAGGAGAGCCTGGCTTGACAGCCTGACTCACACTGGTCCCAGGGTCCACAGCTGCTTCTGGAGGTCCAGCCAAGAAGCCCTGGTGACCCTGCATCAGGAGCCATGGGCTGGGTCCTGAGCACCCTTGCAGGGCTGCGAACATGGGCTCCAGCAACCTGGGACTGAGAGTGCAGCAGGACCTCCGCCCTGTGGGGCTGATGGTCTAGGGGTCCTAATGGGACAGGCACCTGTATCTACTGTGGCTCAGCTGCAGGGCCACACCAAGGATGTTCCCACACTTTGAGGAGCTGGCACACACAGCCGCCTGTGAGCATAGGTGCTGGGAGATAGAGGGGCCTGCAGAGGTGGACCTTACACATGGGCCCACACCTGCAGGGGGACAGCTGCAAAGGGCCGCAGGGGGCACCATGTGGGCAGCCAAAGGCTGAGGGCCACCTCAAGTCCTGGGAGCCGACCTAGAACCTGGCGGCCCTGAAAAGGCCAAGGCAGCCCACACGGTTGGCGGAGCCCCTCGTCAGCAGACAGGGGCCCCTCCCCCCTGGCTGCTGGGTGAAGGCAGTGCTGAGGGCCAGGGCTGCTCTCCCCCAAGGAGAGGGCAAGGCAGCGGTGGCGGCAGAGGGGGGGAGGGTGCTCCTGAAACACTGTTTTTGTTCAAAGGTGGCAGAAAGACCAAATAGAGGAGCCTGTGCTGCCCGAGGGCCGTGGAGTATTACAGTGTGGGAGTGAGAGGTAAAGCGGCTGGCCGGGGACGGGCGAGCATGACCTGAGCACAGGGGGTTCTGCCCGCGCCTCTGCTCTGGGAAGGCCCATCTGCAGTGAGCTCAGCACACTCGCTTTCCTCCATGTTCCGGAATGCTGGGCTGCTGGCCCCTCACAGGGACAGGACTGCGCCCCAGGAGGGTTCCAACTGCCAGAGCATCACAACCGTCTTCCAGGCCAACCGCCCAGGCAGAGGCTCCCCCGGCTCCAAGATGGAATCGGGCCCTGGCCGCCTGCACAGGTGAGGGTCCAGCTGTGGTGGGGTGTGCCCACTCTCATCTCCTGGGCAGCATGGGCATCCTGCGCAGCTCCAGGACAGGCGCAGAGGGAGAACCCTCACCTGCATCTTGACGGCAATCACCACCGAGATGAGCTCCTTCTCCAGCTCCTTGAAGACTACCAGCTTCTTCAAGGTCAGGCTGCACAACCTGCAAAGCGCACAGAGCCAGCTCAGCAGTGATCACCCCTCCACGCCTCCTCGCCCCCCAAAAGGCCCCACCCCACTGCAGCCCCAGCTGGCCTGCACTGGACCACACGCCCTCAGCCCCTGACCTCCTGCACCACCGTTACTCCTAGAGACTGGCCATCACATCTCCCAGGACCCCTTGCCTACACCCAACCAGGCTGGGAGCCACCCTTGGGGTCCCTGCCACAAGTGGGTGCCTCAGCACCCCAGGCCGTCCAGTTAGGCGTCCCTCTCCAGAGGGTTCCTGAGGGCAGGTCTCCTCCACACCCCGAGTGAAGGTGTCTCAGTGTGGGGTTGTGGACAGGCAGGAGAAGGGACAGATAGGAAATCGGAGACTGTAGACCACAGAAGCCCCCAGGGACCAGGGTGCCAGCGCCCTGGGAACTCACTCCCAGATGTGAGAGCACAGGTCTTCCCGGACCCTGCAGGCCTCGCCCACTTCACAGGCCCCGACCACATGGCCCCTAGGACCTTCCACTCTGCCCTAACCCACCCCCCCACCCCCCGCCTCCTTGAACCTTCACACTGCCAACTTCACCTCCACCATTCTGTTCTGAGCCATACAAAGTCGTGGTGATGCATGCCAGCCCTGCCTAGGGAAGGCCTGGAGGACACCTGCACTGTGCCCACTGCTGTCCCTGGGGAACGGAGTGGGTGGGACCTGAAGCTCCTACTCTGCTGTAGCTGCAGTGTCTGCACTGCAGACCCGGCATGCATGACTGCTGTCCCCGCTCATCTTTCGGAAGGCAGCAGCCACCCAGGGTGGGTCCCAGAACAACAACACGAAGGCACCCAGGACCGAGGAGCCAGCGGGGGGTGGGGCAGGGATGCAGCCCCAGGACCTACGGGCAAGGTTCCATAGACTGGAGACCTCTCCATGGCTCCTTGAAGCCTGGGCCCATTTCCCCACTCAGATGCCAGTCTGCTTGTTCACAGGGGCAGTGACACAGCTACATGAGGGTGAGCACGTGACTATCCATGCTAAAATGTCCCTGCTGCCAGGACAGGTCACGTGCCCAGGCCATGTCCCCAATACCTGTGTTGGAGTCCCATTTGGGAAATCCAGACTTTCCATGCCCACCTGAGTTGTCACTTGGTCCCCAAAGTACGCATCTGAACCCGAAGCAGTAGGACAGACGCCAGACATAGGCAGGCCACAGAGCGTGGCCTGTCTGCCAGCATCAAAGTGACTCTTCACTCCTCTGTCTCTGTGCCTTTGAACGGAGCATGGTGGGCCAGAAGACAGACCCGGGCCCTTCCACTGCACATGTCTCCAGCCAGGCAGCAGGAGCACGGGGGAGGCAGGTGGGCTCAGGTGTGCACACAAGGCCTGGGCGTAATCAACTGCATGGCATTGGGCAGTCTCATGGGCTCCCTGAGCACCTGTCAACCACACACGGAACAGAGACCCCACCGCTGTCCTGGGCTTATAATGTAGACCCCACCCTTGTCCTGGGCATGAAACGAAGACCCCCCTATTCTATGTTTCCTTAGACTCTATATTTGTCTATTTGGCCTCCATTAATTATAGGGCCAAACTAAGGGCCAAAGTTGTTTCCATCTCCCCTGGATGCAGGGCCCATACTCGGAACCACCTCCTTATCCAACCCTCAACACCAAGCCAATACCCCTACCCTAAACACCCAGGGCGAGGGGGCAGACAACTAGGGACAGCCCCGGGGCTCCAAGGTCCACCGGGATTAGTCAACTGGGCAATCGTAAGCCATTTACCCCGCCACACCGTGCCTTTCCTGTGGAAACCCCAATAAAGGCTCTGGCCTGGGCCTTCCCCTCACTCCCTCTGCCTCCTGACGCACAGGGTGCTCCCCCAGGGCCCTGCATGGCGTGCTGAGCCTGTTGTTTCTAGGGGACTGTGAATAACATTAAGCTTTTTTTTTTGGTGGCGCTGACCTCTCCATGTTGTCACTCAGTCACCGTTACACACTAAGACCCGGCACAAAGCACCCACCCCATACCGGGCCTCATGGCAGCCTGTCAGGCCCTCAGGGGCCGCCTGGGGATGATGGTGACGCCGCCTGCACTCCACTGAGCCCAGAGGACCAGCAGACAGACTCAGGGGCCCCCAGGCAGTGATGCACCCTGATCTGCCAGCAGGGGCAGCCCCAGGTTGGAGGCAAACAGAGTGTGCCCCTTACAGGCCCTGACACCTGCGAGTGTGGCCCAGCAGGGACACCGAGCACGAAGGGCTGCCCTCGAAGCGCCCGGCCTAGCCCGCTCCACCCATCGAGCTGCGCGGACGGACGCTGCAGGGCTCTGCATCACCGAGAGAAAGAACTGCAAGGGGAAAGGAGATGCGTCAAAGGGGTTCATACTCACCAGGAGAGACTGCACGGTGGGCAGAAAACATCGCTTAACACGTTTAAAAGAACTGAATCAAATAAAGTATGTTCTCTGACCCAGATGGAGTTAACTAGAAATCAGCAATAGAGAGAGAGCTAGAGAACATCAAGCACTTGGGAAACTAAACGCACGCTCCTAAACCTACAGGCCAGAGAGGAGTCTCAAAGGAAACCAGAGAGATTTTGTGTAGAACAAAAGTGAAATACAACAAATCAAGATCTGTGGGACGCAGTGAAAGCAGTGCTGAGAGGAATTTCAGCATTAAATGCTTATACTAGAAAGAAGAAAGGTCTCAAACAAACAACGGAAGCTTCACCTTAAGACACTAGGAAAAGAAGAGCAAATTAAACCCAAAGTGAGCAGAAGGAAGGAAATAACGAGGATTAAAGCAGAAACAATGAAACTGCAAATAGAGAAAATAAAACCACAACTTGATTCTTTGGGAAGATCAATAAAATTGATAAAACCTCTAGCCAAAGAAAAAAACAAAGAGAAGACAACAACGAGCAACAGCAGGAATAAAAGAGAACACCACTACAGGCCTCACAGACACGACAACTGTGGTTAGGGAACATGGCAAACAGCTGCAGGCACGCAAATCTGAACACTTAGATAGAATGCACCAATTCCTTGACAGCCACAAACTGCCCAAACTCACCAGGATGAACAGACCACGTGAATAGCGTAATCTATTAAAGAAACTGAATTAATAGTTAAAGACTTTCTGAAACAGAAAACTCCAAGTGAATTTAACCAGATATTAAAGGAAGAAATAACACCAATTCTACAGGATATATTCCAGAAAACTAGAGAGGAAGGAATACTTGTCAACTCATTTTATGAGGTTAGCAATTACTCTGATACCAATACCAGATCAACATCCCTTTATGAAAACAGATGCAAAAATCTTCAACAAAACATTAGCAAATTGAATTCAGCCATATATAAAAGGAATAACGAATAACACACCATGACCAAGTGAGGTTTGTTCCAGGAATGCAAGGCTGGTTCAACATTTGAAAATCAATGTAATTCACCACATCAACAGGCTAAATAAGAAAAAACACAAAATGTCAACTGATTCAAAAAAACTTTTGACAAAATTCAATATCCATTTGTGATTAAAAACTCTCAATGAACTAGGAATAGAAGGGAACTTCCTCAGCCTGACAAAGAGCACGTCCAAAAGGCCCACAGCTAACAATGGACATGAGAGACTTGTACTGTCCCCCTGAGATCGGGAACAAGGCAAAGCCGCACCCTCTCACCACTGCCAGCCAGCGCAGCGCTGAAGGCCCGCCCCGTGCAATAAGGCAAGAAAAGGAAATAAAAGGGGGAAGGATTGGAAAGGAAAAGATAAAGCTCTTCTTATTTGCAGATATGATCGTTTATACAGAAAATCCCAAGGAATGCAGAAATGTACAAACAAGCTCCAAGAACAAATGAGCTTAGCAAGGCCACACGATACAGGTTCAACATACAAAAGCAATCGCATTTCTACACACTAGCAATGGACAACTGGAAGTCAGTTTTTAAAGCTCCAAAATGAAATAAATCTAAACAATAAAGAGACAAATCTAACAAAACAAATGCAGGATCTGCGTGCTGAAAACTTCCAACTGCTGAGGCAAGGAGTCAAGAAGACCCAAATACAGCATCCCCCCTTATCCACGGTTTCACTTTCCTCGGTTTCAGTTACCCATGGTCACCCGTGGTCTGAAAATATTAAATGGAAAATTCCAAAAATAAGCAATTCATAACTTTTAAATTGCGTGCCGTTCTGAGTAGTGTGATAAAATCTCCCGCCTTCCTGCTCTGTCCTGCTTGGGACGTGACTCATCCCTTTGTCCAGCACGTCCACGCTGTATAGGCTCCCCGTCCGGGAGTCACTTAGGAGCCGTCTAGGTTGTCAGATCAACGGTCGCGGTATTGCAGTGCTTGTGCTCCAGGAACCCTTATTTTACTTAACAATCACCCTAAAGCGCAAGAGTACAGATGCTGGCAATTCCCATATGCCAAAGAGAAGCCATAAAGTGCTTCCTTTAAGTGAAAAGGTGAAAGTTCTTGACTTAATAAGGAAAGAAAAAAAATCTACGTTGACCTTGCTAAGATCTACAGTGACTTTTATTACGGTATTGTTGTAACTGTTCTATTTTATCATTAGTTATTGTTGTTACTTACTGTTCCTAATCTATAAATTAAACTTCATCACAGGTCTGTATGTATACGGAACAACATAGTATACACAGAGTTCTGTACTGTCTGTAGCTTCAGGCATCCACTGGGGGTCTTGGAACGTACCCCCTGCAGATGAGGGGGACAACTGTAAATGCAGGAACACGCCATAATATCGGACACGCTCACCGATATTAATTCTCCCCAAACTAGATCTACAGGTTTAATGCAATTCCAATGCAATCCCAGCAAGACGTTTTTGTGGATATCAATAAGTTGATTTTTAAATTGATAAGGAAAGGCAAAGGAACCAGAATAATCAAAATAACATTGACAAAGGAGAATGAAGTCAGTTGGGGCCTCTCAATACCTGCCATCAGACTCGCTATGAACCTGCAGTCATCATGACAGTGTTGTGGTGACAAA